AGTTCAGGCCCCCTTTCCTCTATTGTTTCGGGTTTTAGCTGGGGTCATCCTTTTGGATTCCTGGGAATTTTTCTAGAGCCAGGTTTCTTGCTAATTCCATAATGGTTCCCTCAGTCAAGTTATCTCTTTTCTTGCTCTCATATCTGTCCTTCCTCCATCTCGACTATCCCATTCCCTCAAGTTCTCCTCCTGACTCCCCTTCTCCCCTCCTTTTCCCCTTCTACTAGCTATAAACAAAGGGCATTGAGCCTATAGTTCATGATATAGAGAAGCTAAGCAATAAGGTGGATCCAAAAAAAAATAACCATATACAGACCCATCTGGAAATTGGAAACAGACAAGATTGCCAGACAAAATTGGGAGCATGGGGGCAGGGGGTAGAAGGAAAGGGAGAAGTACTGAATTTTTAAAAAGCTTGTATAGCTTTACTACTACATGTGATGAAGCATATTTAACACACATAGTATTAATTCAGATAAAGATGTCTTATGCTGATAAAATAAAAAGTTAAATAGGAAGATATATTTGCACATGGCTGTGTGTCAGGATTTTCTATATTGCTCTCAAGATTTTCCTACCATTTCATTTTGATTTTTAAAATTTAATTAAATGTGGATTGTCTAGTAACAAAAATCTTTCTCCTACTCCATACCTGTGCTGTTTGTTTTTGTCAGTGTGACAAAAACTCTACATATCTGTGAAGAGGGAATCCTAACTGGGAAAATGCCTCCATAATATTGATTGGCTTTTAGGCAAGTCTGTGGGAGTACAGCCTTGATTAATGCTTGATGTAGGAGGACCAGATCACTGTGGTCAGTGCCACTTCTGGGCTGGGGGTCCTGGCTTGCATAAATAAGGAAGCAGCTAAGCAAGCCATGGGGAGCAAGCCAGTAAGCAGCACTCCTCCGTGACTTCTGCTTCAGTTCCAGATTCTAGGCTCCCACCTTGAGTTCCTGCCTTAACTTTCCTTGGGGATCGAGTGTGATCTGAGAGTTTTAAGATAAAATAAACGCTTTCCTTCCAAGTTCCTTTTGATTATGGTGTTTTATTATAGCAATGGAAACCACAACAAAAAAAACTTACAGGAAAAGTATATACCAAAAGAACTGAAGAATTCACAATGTAAAAATTCATACATCAAATGTGTACCAAGATATGAGAAAATGTCTTCAAGTGGTAGATAGGAGAATATTTCTATCATGAGGGATAAAGATTTCTTAACAGGCCACAAAGGCACTAACTGAAGCTAAAGGTTCTTAAAATTAAAATTTCCATCACCTAGTACTAGTAAGAAAACAATAAAATAAATAAACCAAGAATCTGTAATATATAGATTTGATAATGAACATGTCCAGAATATCAAACTATTGAAACAAAAAAAGACCTATATAGATCTTTATTAAGGAGAAATTTCCTGAATAATGACTTCTCAAGAAAAATGACAAAGTGGTAATTGACATCTAGAAGTCTGGAAATGTGTGGTAAAACCGTATTCCCAATGTGAGCAGCTATGATTAATTTAGACTTTATTCTGTGTTACTGTATTTGATTCAAAATTCTAGTTCCTCAGGTGAGGTGAGATAAACATGAAACAGAGTACAGAGGACAGGGTACACTGAGTCTAAGAAGACTAACATGGATTGAGTCTAAACACACAATTGCAAGATTATGGCCTGAGAAGTTGGGAAGTAGCTCAGTGTTCTAATCTAGTCTTAGAGGAGGAACTAAAACACTAATCAGGAATAGAAGCAAAAACTCATCCCTTCTTTCCCAAGAAATGCATGTCAGTATGTTTAAATCATGTGGGCAAGGAAGACCAAGAAATTGTTCAAGTTTGACCTCTTGTCCCATGAGCTTCCCCAAGATGGTCACACAATAAAGGCTATTGCCAGTCTTCCTGGTTACCAACCAGAACTTGGCAATAAGACCAAACTACCAAACACACCACATTATTGAATCATAGAACATGGAAAATCAAGCTGGTACTGACTTGGAAGCTTCATCCCTGCTGGCTAACTTTCATGGTGCTGGCAGAGGTTATACATGCTACCAGAGGAGAAAATCCATCACCAGTCATACCCATCTGTGAATCCTGTAAGCTGTAATAATGACTGGCCTTGAAAGACATAAGTCACGAAAGGCATGAATCTTGTTGGAACAACCAATCACTTTCTGATTGAATTTATGGTCACCTTCACAAGATGAAGCCCATACCTGTTCCCATTATCAGACAAAGAGCCTATACTGCACAGATCACAGACCCTGGGAAAGAACCTACTACTATTATTCTGCTAAATGGATATAGTATTGAATGGTCTCCTAATGACATTACACCTACAGATTAAGGCAGCTCTCAACCTTCATCAGAGAGGCTTCTGTTTGCGGTAGACCATGATCAACACAGATACCCACACCTAATCAATGTGCAGAGATAAGAGACCATAAAATGTTCATCCCTAAAAGGTACTTGTGTGCCACACTTCCTCAGCCAAAGATGCAAGGATCATTGAATAAAGAATGTAAGAGTCACTTGCTTTGAATGATGACAGCAAAATACTGTCTTCTGAATCCATCAGAGAAGCTGCACATATGAATTCACAGTGGTTATGACAGCATGCATAAGACATATGCAAACTCGAGCCAGACCAAATCCCAGCACTGACTGGGGAATTAGGCATCAAGTCTTACCTCTGGCAGTTACTAGCTGCTGGGCAAGGAAGACTCAGTTTTCCTTAAGAGTGTAGCCATTGATAAGTCTGTCATGCTTCAATGGAAGACCACAATCCAAGTATATTTGGGAAACACAAGTTGGCCTTGATGGAAATTAAAGACACAAATGGGTGAAAAAGGAATGGGTCCAATCTGGAGAGACTTGGGGGGAGGAAGGGTGAATATTATCAAAGCACACTATTGAAAATTCTCAAAGAACTAACACACACACATTCACACACATGAGAGAGAGAGAGAGAGAGAGAGAGAGAGAGAGAGAGAGAGAGAGAGGAGACAAAGAAGGGGGAAAGAGGGAGAAAGAGAGAAATGGATAGTACTTTCAAAAAGTTTCAAACAAGCCCACAATGAGGAACATCTATGTATAGACTATTGTGACAAGTGATACCTAGGATGTGGAGTAACTAGTGTGCTCCTAGCCTAGTGGCAGAAATGTTCATTGATACAGTCCATTGGGAACTACATGACTATAAGAACCAACTATATGCTTATAACTGAGAGGGGCATTTTGGAGGCATTAGAGATGCCACTAATATTCTATACTTTAATTTGTACATGTATGGGTACATATGTATTTTTACTTTGTAAAATTCATTCACCATACACATTTACGATTTTGTACATTGCACTTTAATAAAATATGTATTGTAAGGGAGGCTTTGAGGTTCAGATGTTCAGATGCATCAATACGTTAATGCATCAATACACTAGCTGATTTAAAATAAGACTTAGATTTGTGGAGGTCTTTGGCAACCTTGACCATGGCAGTCTGGGTGGAAGGACTGGAAATAAGTCCTGAGTGGAGTGGATTCAGTAGAAGATAGGAGACAAGAATGGATATCCCATTATCACTAGGTGTTGCATTCCAAGACCCCTGAGGATTCCTGGAACCACTACATATATACTACATATACATACAATATCTTCCCTATACACATGTATGATAAAATTCATCTTATAAATTAGGCACTGAAAGAGATCAATAACAATGACTGTAATAAAGTAGAACAATTACAACTACATGCTACTATCAAATTGCACTAATCTTGTGCTTTGAGCCATGGTGAAGGAAAATAAGGGCTACCTGAAGGCAAATATCTCAACAGTCATTCTGATGATTGAGAATGTCACCAAGTAGTTAATGATTGTGTGACATATATAATGTAGACATGCTGGAGAGAGGGATGACTCACTTCTTCTGTGAGACAGAAGAGAATGGAGTACGTAGAATTTCTTAATGTTACTCAGGATGACATACACTTTAAAAATTAGGAATTGTTTATTTATCCAATGTTTGAACTGGTTGACCTATGTTAACAAAAGCCATGAGAGGTAAAACTATGGACAATCGGGCAACTACTGTGTTTTATCTTTTGTGATTGTGAAATATCTACCTTTCCTTTCTCCCAAGCCCTATACTTCTTTTGCTCATTTCTCTATGTTGATGCTTCCAGTACTATACTTTCTAAATGGTAAAACTTCCATCAGTATATCTAGAAAGCAAAGAAACAAATCTAGGAAAGAGCTCAGTATTTCCCAAAGATCTGGGTTTACAATGATACAGGGTGAAGTTTTCAAACATTAACCAAGTTATTATTTAAAAATGTGGCAGCTAGCCGGGCGATGGTGGCGCACACCATTAATCCCAGCACTCGGGAGGCAGAGGTAGGCGGATCTCTGTGAGTTTGAGACCAGCCTGGTCTATAGAGCTAGTTCCAGGACAGGCTCCAAAGCCACAGAGAAACCCTATCTCGAAAAACCAAAAAAAAAAAAAAAAAAAAAAAAAAATGTGGCAGCTAAAATGAAGAAATTGAGCAATTGATCTATATGAGGGATCAAAATCTGCACATATCATAAACATATTTGATGGTGGTAGTGATCTAAGATATCCTGTTAAAGGATATTCATGTGTTATGAACAAGTCAGACAAGGAAGAAAATGTGTAGATGTAATTGAGAATGATTACCGATTCTATCTTCCTTTTCTTCCTGAGACCTCACATAGACAAACTCATTGAACTCTGGACTATGTTCTTTTTCTACCGTGAAAGTCTTATGTGCTATAGATTTGTAAGAAAAATAAAATTTTAATAATAAATTTTATTTTTTTCTTTTCTCTTTCCCCTTCTTTCTCTCCTGCGCTCTTCTTTATCTTCTTCCTCTTCTCTTCTCTTTCCATTTTTTCCCATTTTTTTTCACTTTTGCCATTTTTTCATTGTTTGCTCCTCACTTACCTTCCCACCCTCATTTTTTCTCCCCACCGCCCACTCTCAGATAGAAAAAAGGAAACTCAACCACAACTCTAACTCGACATGCTGTGTCTTCATGGTTAACAAGCCCTACGCCATCACCTGCTCTGTTGTAGCCTTCTACATTCCGTTTTTCCTCATGGTGCTGGCCTATTACCGTATCTATGTCACTGCTAAGGAGCATGCCCAGCAGATCCAGATGTTACAACGAGCAGGAGCTACCCCGGAAAGCAGGCCCCAGCCAGCTGACCAGCACAGCACACACCGCATGCGGACAGAGACCAAGGCAGCCAAGACTTTATGCGTCATCATGGGCTGCTTCTGTTTCTGCTGGGCCCCCTTCTTTGTCACCAATGTCGTGGACCCATTCATAGACTACACTGTCCCTGAGCAGGTGTGGACTGCCTTCCTCTGGCTTGGCTACATCAATTCAGGGTTGAACCCCTTTCTCTATGCCTTCTTGAATAAGTCTTTCAGACGTGCCTTCCTCATCATTCTCTGCTGTGATGATGAACGCTACAGAAGACCCTCCATTCTGGGCCAGACTGTCCCCTGTTCAACCACAACCATTAATGGATCCACACATGTGCTAAGGTGAGTGTTGGGGGGAGGCAGGTGGTAGATCAGTTTGGTTGGTTTGCATTACTCAGAAGGGGTTAGGATCCAGTTTTGTTCTAGGTAGTTATTCTTGAAAACGTGTATAGTGTTTTCAAAGATTCAAGTCCATTCTACCATCTCATCATGTAACCAGTTAGTCGGTTAGGACTCGGGCTCTGGAGGGAGATTCACTTGCATTCATAGTCCTTGTTCATTGACCTTGGCGAGATCACTAACACTTCCAAACCTTAATTGTACATTAAAAAATTGGTATTATGACCACTGTATGTAGATCCCAGGGTTTGAGGGAGCTTAACGAGTGTGACAGTTCTAATACGGAGTCTGAGTTCACTAAATACGCAGAGCTGGTGTTGTAAGCTCCTATTCACAGGGTAGCAGCTAAAAGCATGGTCCTTAAAGCAGCAAGGGCTTGATTGTTAACTCCCCTGATGCCCTACTAACCATCTCTGTCATCTTTCTTGCATTTACTTTCATCAGCAACAAACACATCAATAACACTACTAACTTTCTAGTAGGATTTTGTGGCAATCGGAGAGAATGTTTTTATACAGCTTTACCTGTAGTATGTTCCTAGCATTAGCAATTGTTTTAATATTTGTTAAACTGGTAGAAATTGTGTATTGGCCGGCAACATAAATGAGATGATAAAGCTAAGATAAATTGAGGAACATGTTTGCAATTATAATGCTGTGTAACAAGTTAGACAGCATAGTATGGGGGGTCAACGTTAGTCATATGGGCAGGAAGAACACTGATTTGTAACTCAGGGAAGACTTCCCAGAACAGCAATTTGTAAGAAGCTGAGATAAGGAAAATAGAGCAGCATCGGAAAGAAAGAGAAAAATAGGGACTTACGAAGGCCACACCAGCTGGTGGAGGTGGGGATGATGTTGAAGTTAAATGTGCATGTCGACGCTTCTTACTTAGGTCACACAGTCTGGTGGAGGTGGGGTGACATTGGAGTTAAATGTGCCTGTCTATGGTACTTACCTAGGTCACACAGTCTGGTGGAGGTGGGGGCGACATTGGAGTTAAATGTGCATATCTATGGTACTTACCTAGGTCACACGGGCTGGTGGAGGTGGGGGCGACATTGGAGTTAAATGTGCCTGTCTATGGTACTTACCTAGGTCACACAGTCTGGTGGAGGTGGGGGCGACATTGGAGTTAAATGTGCATGTCTATGGTACTTACATAGGTCACACAGGCTGGTGGAGGTGGGCTGACATTGGAGTTAAATGTGCCTGTCTATGGTACTTACCTAGGTCACACAGGTTGGTGGAGGTGGAGGTGATACAGGAGTTTAATGCCATTGTTCCACACAGAGAGAGCCTTTAGTTGTGAGCTTGAATTGTTCTCAACTGAGAAGTTACAGGCGTAGAATCTTCACTATGCTGTTCTTTGCTCTAAGACACATCAGGAACTTTGAAGACTACTTTCTTCCTGGGGTTAAGCATTTGTCTTTTTTGATGATGATAGTATGAAGTAGTTCTAGCAGCTGAGACTATGAAATGGAGGGATTTCCATTTGCAGGCATAAGAGACGAGGAACAGACTTAAATTGCTAAGAAATATGAACAGTGGTTCTCAGAAGCAGCCCAGAAGCATGGATTCTGTCTACGGCCACCAGTGTGGGCAAGCTTCACACAATGTTGAAGTTGCAGCTGGTGGAAGGGCCTCGAAGGACAGTCTGACAGCCTGGCATTCTCCTCATTACCATGGAGGGAGCAGCACTGGAAAAAAACCAACTACAGAGTGTGTGTAGAACTTGTGTGTGCTAGGAGCTTCAACTATTCAAGCTAGCAGTTGCCCAGGTGCAGGCTGTCTGCAGCTTTCATCAATGTATGTTTTCAGCAACACATTTGCTAAGTCAGTCATTTCTGAAGTTGGCGGCTTTCTAGCTCAGGTGCTGTCATAGATGAGATCTGGACACTTCTGGGACAAGTGAAGAGGGTCTCTTTTGCTGACGTTGTACTATTTTTGCCCTGATCCTTTGGTCACCTGTGGATGGCTATAAAGCAAAGAGATGGGTTTGGTTGGCTGTGATTGTATCCTCTGTACAGTCCTCCATACACTTCTTAATGGAGTCAGGAGGAGCAGGAGGTGGATTAGAGTTGTGGGGAAGAGAATCATATAAAAGTCAGAGTGGGCCAGATGGTGGTGGCGCACACCTTTAATCCCAGAACCTGGGAGGCAGAAGCAAGTGAATCTCCATGAGTTCGAGATTAGCCTGGTCTACAGAGCAAGTTTCAGGACAGCTAAAGCTACATAGCCAAACTCTGTCTAGAACCCCTTATGCCCCCCAAAAGAAAAGGAAGTCAGATGGTCTCTGCAGAGAAAACACATCTATTTCTAAACTGTAGGGAAAGTCTTTCAGGTGCAAGAATATACCTATTTGGTTCACGGCTCCATACCAAGGACCCAATGTCTAAGGCACCTAGGAAATTAAGCTGTTGATGACTGCATAAAAAAAATTTAGTTCTTCAGACCAAGTGTTTTAACTTAAATGTAATGTTCAATAATCAACATTGCCTTAAAGATTTCACATGTAGAATGTCAGTGACTTGAGGCAAATCCAACAAATATAAGGCCAAAATAATAAAAAAGAAGTCAACTTTTAGTGGCCACCCCATCTCCAGATAACTTTTTTTCACAGTATCTCTACACACATTCTTAAAACAATATAAAGTTATAACTTTTCCCCATTGTCTTATATAAATGGCACTATTGCATTGGCACTTTCCTGTTTTCTGGATCTTGAATTTTATTTTATTTTTTAACAACAGTGTATTTGAACATCACTGGAAAATGTGGAAACAGAACTCATTCATTTTTTCTGTATCTGTCTTATTCATTTTCTACTACTAGATCTGTAGGTGTTTCTAGGATTTCAGAAAACTTTATGATTTTAATGCCCTGAACGCATTTCTTTATGTATATGCTGGAATTTCAGATAACAACAAAGCTGAAATGCTTTATTAATATGTATGTTAATAACATGTTTGCCACAAACTAGATCTCCTACAACACTGTATTAATGATTATCATTTTTATAAATGGTTATAAAAGAGTATTTATCTCACTCACCAATAACAAACATTATCATTTTGTTAATTAAAAACATCCATTTAATTTGTCTTTCCCAGATGACTTATCATATTAAACCTTTTAAAAAAATTAGTACTTTCAAAAATGTATGACTCCTTTTAAAACAGTTGATTTTCCTTTTAAGTGTGCACATAGATGCACAGAAATGCCACTGAACACCATACAGACAGCATTACTTTTAGCAATCACAAGGTCTGAATTTTAGTCTTGATTTCCTCCCTTAGAAACTATATAGATTCTCTGAGTCGCTCCTTACTCATGCAAAACAAGAGGAATAAATGAAGTTCTCACTGAGTAACTTGGTATCCATCTGCTACCTATGATTATTTAAGTAAAAGTTTGAGTTAAATATATTTTAAAATACAAAAGGATGCTATATATTATTCTTGTTAATTCTTTAATCATCTCACACATGCATGCTATGCACTTTGTCTTGTTCACCCCCATTCTTCTTTGCACCTCCTTCAAGAACCCTCTGTTAACCCTCATGCCCTTCCAATCTGGGTCCTCTTTATTTGTCTTAACAATTTGCTGATACAATGTGTGCTGCTCATATACTCATGTGTGCAGGACCATCTACTGGAGTGTGTTCCACCTACCGGAACCACGCCCTTAAAGAAATTGACATTCCATCTCCCTCAGAATCCATCGACTGTTGATGGCTCCTCAGCAAGAGGTGGGCACTAGTGAACCTTTCCCACCTAGAAGCTGAGCACTGACTATTGATCTTGTGCAAGCAAACACAACCTTGTGAGTTTATGAGAGCAGCAATCTTACTGTGTCCAGAGGATGCTCTCTCATACAGCCTTTTTGGTCCCTCTCCACGATGGAGCCTGAACCTCTGGAGAGGAGGTATAGTATAGATGTCCTGTTTGCAGCTGAGCATGGAGTAAACACTCTTAAGGAGTATCCTAACCCAGAAATGAGAGGCTAGCTGCCATTGGCAGGAAAACAGCCATCCTCTAGCTCTTGCAGTACTCAGAAGGGCTTGAATTTTCTTGATGGATCATCACATGGCTCTTGTTTGAAATAATCTAATCACATATTTGTTAATAAAAGGGAAATTGAAAATTCTGATGTCCACAAATAGCAACCATGTTAAAACAGAATATATTTGAATACAAAGACAGCCAGGTCACCCTCACCCAGGAAAATCTATGGCTATGAACTGACCGAATTTGGCTAATGATGCTTTTCCAAAGAAGCATTTCAGAGAAGAGCAACAGTCTAGTGCCACTTCGAGAGGGCTGCTGTTTGTTAAACTGAGCCCTGTCTGTAGGGCTGGTCCTCCTATAATGATGGCATCACTTAACGCCACTTACTTTCCCTTTGGTAAAATTGAAAAGAGATTGTTTTTCATACAATATATTCTGACGATGATTTCCCCTCCCCCAACTCCTCCCAGATCGTCCCCTACTCCCCATCCAGGCAAATCCCCCCCCCCCCCTCTCTCTCTCTCTCTCTCTCTCTCTCTCTCTCTCTCTCTCCTCTTCTCTTCTCTTCTCTTTGTCACACACACATTCACTTTCTTGCTCTCACTCTCTCTGAAGAGTATAATAATAATAATAATAATAATAAGAAGAAGAAGAAGAAGAAGAAGAAGAAAACAAACTGAAATAAGAAGAAATAAACAGCTGGGAGGAAAAGATCCAAAGATAAAAGCACAAGGAACACATCGAAATCTCATAAAAATACAACATGGAAACCATCATATATATATATATATATATATATATATATATATATATATATATATACAAAAAAAACCTAAAGGGGGAAAAAGGAAAGAAAATAAAAATCATGCCTAGACAAAACCCCAAGAGACGAGGAGCCTCCAGAAATGGTGTTGAGTTCCCTTTGTGTTGTGCT